TCCAGTTAGTCCAGAATGCGGCCGCGCGGGCGGTGATGGGAGCGACTCGTCGCTCCCATGTAACGCCGCTGCTGCGCGAGCTGCACTGGCTGCCTGTGGTCTTCCGAGTGCGCTTCAAGGTGTTGATCACCATCTTTAAAGCGCACCATGGCATCGGACCTGGCTACCTCCGAGACCGCCTTCTGCCACAGATTGCCTCTCACCGGCCGATACGCTCCCACAGAGAGGGCCTCCTCAGGGTGCCGTCAACCAGACAGTGTCGGCTGGCGACCCCCAGGGGGAGAGCCTTCTCTGTCGGAGCGCCCACCCTCTGGAACGAGCTGCCCCCAGAGATCCGGGTGATTCCGGATCTCCCCTCCTTCCGCCGCGCCCTTAAGACCTGGTTATTTCAGCAGGCAGGACTGGCCTAGGGGTATTTTAAATTGGTTTTTAACAAAATTTTTAGTATAAGCGGCCTATTGAATATCTATTTTTAATTACTTTTAAATTTTGTATTATATCGTATTATTGTTTTTAAGTTGGCTGTAAGCCGCCCTGAGTCCTCCGGGAGAAGGGCGGGGTATAAATTTAATAAAACTAAACTAAACTAAATTGTTCTCCTTAATTCCAGCTTGCTTCTCTCTTTGGTCAGTTTCCAACCATTGTTTCTTCTCCTGCCCTCTGGCACTTTGGAGAATAATTTGATCCCCCTCTTCTTTGGGGCAGCCCCTCAGATACTGGAGGACTGCTATCATCTCTCCCCTATTTCTTCTTTTCTTTAGACTAGTTACATCTGCGACGGGCAGGCCAAATTACGGTCGTTAACTCACGGGCGACCTGGGTGCTGTTTTCAGAGAGCTGGCGTCTTTGGCGACCCGGGAATCGCCAGGGTTGAACGGAATGTCTCTTTTCTTCTTGGCAGCAACACAGTCACCCCCGGGGGCAAGCCCAACAGGACCAGAGTCATCTGGGGGAAGGTGACCCGGGCCCACGGAAACAGCGGCATGGTGCGGGCCAAATTCCGCTCTAACCTGCCCGCCAAAGCCATTGGACACCGGATCCGAGTGGTGAGGATGACAGCCCCTTTGGGCCGGGGGGGGGGATCGTCCGGGACTTCGAAATCTGCCTGCAGAGGGTCACATTTTGGGGTGGCGAAATTGGGGACGGTCGTAGGACAGGCGGAAAAACGGTTCCTCTGGATGTCTGGTAAGCATTCTTCTTTTCTTCCCGCAGATGCTGTACCCATCCAGAGTCTAAATGTAGGCCGCAAATAAAACGGAATGTCTTATTTCACTTTTTGTATACTTCGTCCTGCCTTGCCTTTTACTTGCTCTGCGCGCAGCTGAGGCCTCGTGAGCGATTTGTCCTTTTCAAGAGGTAGCAGTGGGTTATTTATCACTAACCGAAACAATTAAAATAAAGCCATTAATTGCGTCTCCGCTAAGAGTTTTGCATGCACTCACAGAGTGTTTAGAGTTTTCCATAAGAAGATAGTCCTTGACTTATAACTGGAATTGAGTCCAGAAATACGGTCATATGTCATGCTGGTCGTTAAACGTGACCGACCTGATTTTACGACATCTTTTTGTGGCAGTCAGTAAGCCAAACCCATGTAAATGCCAGTTTCTGGCAATATCTATCTATCTATATCTGGAGAGATAGTTAGTTACTTAGATAGATAGATAGATGATAGATAGATAGATAGATAGATAGATAGATAGATAGATAGATAGATAGATAGATAGATAGATGATAGATAGATAGATAGATGGATAGATAGATGTACACACACACCACACACACACACACATACACATATTATAAACTGCGGTCACATGACCATCGGATGCTGCAAATAGCCATGAATGCCTGCTGGTAGGCGAGCCCCCAAAATTCCCTGCCTTTGGCAGAATCGAGCGTCGCAACTTTGAATCTGGGTTGTAGCTATCTTTTTGAGTATTCATCATAACTGAACATTTGCTAAGCAACCGGTCGTAAGTCAAGGACTACCTGTAGGTGGATGTAAGGACTAGATGACCTCCAAGGCCCCTTCCAACTTTATTATTATTATTATTACTTCTTCAATTTATTTATCTTATAAACTGCTCTCCGTTTACGTAGAATCGTGGACGGGAAGGACTCCAAGTTCACTCTCGTTCAACCTGGCGCCCCATGCAGAACAAAACATTTAGCTGTATGAATTAGAGACTATATGTTTATTTGTATCCTGCCTTTATTATTTTTACAGATAACTTATGGCAGTGAACATACCTAATACTCTTCCCTCCCTCCTGTTTTCCTCACCTCAACCACCCTGTGAGGTGCCTTGGACTGAGAGAACAACTGACTCAAAGTGACTTAGCCAGCTTTCATGCTTAAGGTGGGACTCGAACTCACCGGCTGCTCCGGGTTCTCCTGCAAACTCTTCTAGGGAACAGCAAAGGTTTTAACGGCAAAAGCTCGCAGGCAGCACCAGTCTCTCCTCTCCGTACAGATTTAAGAAAATTGTTTAAAGCCAGGGAGAGTCATGGAAGAGGCTGTGTTAATTCTGCCTTTTTGTAGGACCCTTCCATCTTTGCGTTGTGCTTTCATGGATCAGGAGAAGCCGCAAAGCAGCTTTTTTTTCCAGCAGCCCCTTTTTTGACCCGGAATAGACCGGGCTTCCAATACTATAGCCGCCTTTAAGCGGAACGAACGTTGAAATGCTGTTGCACCCTTCGGCTTCCTGACCCTCTATTTGTACTGGGCTATTTTGGAACTTCAAAATACTCATAGACTTACCCCTCCCCACACACACACACAGCCTGGCCTGGAGAGCAGATTCCTGCATCTTTGCACGCCCATTGGGAAAGAAACAACAAAGGGAAAAAACAGCCACAGGAAACGGTCACAATGAAAACTTGGGATGCTTCTTGGACGAGAAGCAAAACATCCTTCAAAAAAGTCCCGGAAAAAAAAAGCATCTTTGGGACAACCATTAACCTGGAGGACTGAGAGTCTCCATTTGTTGTTAGTTGCGAAGTCGTGTCCGACCCATTGCGACCCCACGGACAACGTTCCTCCAGGCCTTCCTGTCCTCTGCCATCGTCTGGAGTCCATTGAAGCTCACGCCTCCTGCTTCAGTGACTCCATCCAGCCACCTCATTCTCT